CAGATTCTTGGCTAAAAGTCAAAATGTCCTTGGGCCTCTTAGCAATGTACTCTGTTCCAAAGGCCAAAAATGTCAACAGTATTTGGGAGCTTGTATCTAATCCTTAAAAGATTTTAGGGTTACCTCTTCAGAGGGGAGAATGTTAGAGTAGCCAAAAGCCCCATAAAAATAAATAAGTGAAAGAAGAAAAAGAAAAAGAAAAAAAAGTGATGGGGAGATGTGGGAGGTGTTAGAGGGGAGGGAGTGGGCATGGATTTGATCCAAACACCTTATATGCATGTATTAAATTCTCAGTAATGTTTTTGTAAAAGTTAAAAAAAAAAGTTTAAACCAGTGACTGCAAGTTTTTCTTGGTAGCAACTGAAGTTACATCTTTTGTAGGCTACATGAGTCTTGGTAGTTAAATTTTTCCCACATGGGAAAAATAAATAGAAAAAGGCAAAAGAGATCACTTGTAATGGTGAGAGGCAGGTGATAGGCTTCAGAAGTAAATAGGCAATGAAGATAGGTCTCGCTCAGCAGATAGGAGCTAGGTTTCTAGGAGGAGAAATCATGTGGAGGGAAGTGGAGACAGAATGAATACAGATCCTGAGGGAGGGAGGGGAAGGGGCCCATTTTGGTAACAGTGAAGAGGCTGACGTGGGAAGAATTAGTGAAGTGTGCAAGTGAAGACATGAATTCAGAGAGGGAAAGAGGTGCTGATCATACAGGGCCTATTATGACTGGCATGGACTTGGGCTGTCATTCCGAGAGCAGCGGGGGTTGGGGGACACTTTGATAGAGGAGTGACATGCTATGTTTTATCTTTATAGGGGTCTGGATGCTGCAATGAGGACACACCGTCAGGGAACAAAGTAGAAGCAAAGAGCACCGTTTGGAAGCTATTGCAATAATTCACACGATGATGGCTTGGGCCTGGATGGGGCACTGACAGTGCACTGTTAAAACTGCATCATGAAGGAGATGGAGTATCTGAGACTGAAGGAATAAGAAAGGACTAGGGGTTTCATTGGGAATGAAAGCAAGTAATGTGCATGTTAGGAATAAATAAGAAAGAACAGCAGTCAGAGAATAGAATTCTAGAGTTCAAGGATTTGATGGGGGAGCGGGTATAGTTGCTAACCACCTGTGCACATAGGTGGCAGAACATAAAGGTGGGTAAAGGAAAACAAACTTTAATAATTTTCGTGATTGTAACACAGGAATGAAATTATTACACAAAAGCAGCTTGTAGCAGACAGTACTAAACAATAGCTACACATAAGAATTGTCAAGAGCAGAGCAATTTCGATTGCCTGTAATGAAAAGCAATTAGAAGCACGAGGAAGCAGCTGACTCAGTGTTTCCCTTAGCACAGTAACTGATGTAACAAGCCGGTAAGTTGGAGCTTGATACTACAAGAATCCTCTTTTATGAAGACACAGTTGTAAACTGGAGCAGATTCTACAAGGCAACCATGTCTGGAACTGTGTGTGTGCAGCATGGGGGAACTGTGAATTCTGCATGGCACTCTTTTACCTGTTTGTTTTGACTTGTTTTAGGCTTTGAAGAATTTTTTCCTTTCTTGTAAAGGAGAAATAACGGTGACGACTCAATGGGACACTCATAAAGTGAAGTGTGGACTTTCTCAGAATACCGCTGGAAATCTTCAACTTCCACATCTCTATCCAACCTGTGTTTGTAAGAGGGAAAATAACTCTAAAAATGCTGTCCAGAATTGTATAATGAAAACTATGGCAGAAACATTGACAATGGAAATATATGTGTGCATGTACACCATCACATATGCTTGTGTATGATCTATCCTTGCCTGCCTTAACAGGAATCCTTGAAATTATCATTCAACCAATTAATAACTATATTTCTGGCATTGGAAGGTTTGACTGAGGAACACCTTTTCCTTTACTGGACTCTGGATGACCAGGACCATTCTTGTATTTTTTCATCTGTATTCAATTTCTCCCTTGCTTATTCTTGTATTCGAAGTGCCTTATTGTCTGTGTTAAGGACCTATATATTAAAAATTATTATTTTCTTTTATTTTATGTTTATGAGTATATTACCTACATATATGTAAGTGCACCCATGTTGTACAATGCCCACAGTGGTCAGAAGAGGGTGCCAGATTCCCTTAGAATTGAAGTTAAGGATGGTTGTTAGTCACCATGTGGGTGCTGGGAATCAAAACCCAGTTCCTTTGCAAGAGCAGCCAGTGATCTTAGCCTCTGAGCCATCTCTCCAGTCCTGTTAAGGACCTATATTAATGGCTTTTTTAAAAAGTCATGTATTAAGGGGCTGGAGAGATGGCTCAGTGGTTAAGAACACTGGCTCTTCTTGCAGAAGACCTGGGTTTGAATACCAGCACCCACATGGCAGCTAACAACTGTCCGTAACTCCAGTTCCAGGGGATCCAGCAGCCTCTTCTGTCCTCTGTGAGCATTGCACAACATGGGTGCACTTACCTACAGGCAGGCAATACACACATACACATAAGATAAAATAAAAATAATAAATAAAATATTAAGTCACTCATTAAATTAGGAAGGCTTTCTTAAACTTTGAAAAAAGATTTTGGCATGTTTATCACTAGTACAACATTAAGAATCCATACACAAAAATCACATCTAATAGTTATAACTTGCTGTATACTGGGTGCCATGCAACGTGCTTTATGTGTATTATCTCATATATTCCTTATGACAAGCCTACCAAGCAGGGACCATTGTTATCTGCATTTTGCAGGTGAAGAAATGAAGTTTTGCTTAGCCACACCATACAGGAATTAAAGGGCAAAAGACAAACCCAAATATGTCAGTCATTCAAGCACATGGACCTTTAATCACTACCCTCTAATGACTCTGTAAATTTCATAATTTTTGGTTTTACTAATGCGATATTTCTATTACATGGATGAATCAGGCACACTTGCTAATAGTAAAAGTATTATACCTGGTAAAGTAGGCATTGCTTATGCATCCAGTGAAGTTAGCATACTGGGGGCTGATGGGTGAGCCACCAAAATAAAACTTCTTTTCACTTGTTTCAGTTTGTTTTGTTTTCTCTTTCGTAGGGTTCTTGCTCTTGTGTGAGCTAGTATCTACTACCAGCTCGTATCTGCAAAAGGAAAAGCTCTTTTACACACCACACACTCACTATTTTACCTTAATTCCACTCTAAATTAAATAAGCAAGTTTTCTCAAGGGGTGAAATAGAATATGTCCTTCATGAAGCCCAGGATAAAATGGTTAAGTATTCTTGTATGCAAGGACTCTCCAAATCTAGGCTAGAATTTAGACCTCTAAATTATAGTCATGTTTGTGGGAGCCTATTGTCATTGCACAGGGCATTTGGTGGCTAATCTTTATTAGAAACAGAATGTAGAAAGCTGAACCACTGTTTGATTTTATGGGTGGGTTTCACAGTAGGAGACAGGGCAGCAGTCTACAGCAGAAGCCTAGTCCCTATTTCAAAAGCTCTTTATTATGAAAAAGAAATTCTGTGTCACATGTTTTAAAGATAAAGTTAGAACTTTTAAAACATGTTATAAATGTAAGTTTCCTCTGCTTTTTAAAATCTAGAGAAGACCAGTGTTTGCTGAGATCCTTCTACGCACAACAAATCACAGTCCATTCAGTAAACAGCATGAGTCCACACTGCCTATATAGAGAAGAGAACTGGTCTTTCTATTGAAGAAAGAAAGAAAGAAAAAAACCTTTACATTTTCCTAAGCAACTTTATGGTGGTTTATTTGGAATGTCTTGAAAATTAATAGCATTTTGGGGGGAAGAAGGTAATTTGTTCCCTCTGCCACTTTCTGGAATACTAAAAAGCAACAGGACACCTAGGGGCCATAGTGTCATTCGACAGATGTATATCCTGCAAATAAACATCTTGATGGGAAGGACATGAAGTGGGGAGCTGTACCTTGTCTGTGAGACGGAGGAAATGATGAAGTGGGACAGCCCATCATGGTACTGCTTGTTTGCCGACTTAACCTTGATGCCCTTTACATCCATGACGACAGTACCATTGTCCAGTGAAATGGAAAACACATCGGACTGAAATGCAAGGACAGATGTTTACGACAGGTGTTTACAGGTGTCCGAAGAAAAGTGGACATGTTTTCAACTTTTACTTAATGGTATTGCTTTATGGTATCGCTTATAGAAACATGTAGTATACAGGAAAGTTGCTTGTAAGATAATTTCTGTAAACAGCAACAGTAGTGACTAAACCTTCTGCCTGTCTTGGTGCTGCTTTTAAAAGTAGATGTGTTTCAGGGGAGATGGCTCAGCAGGTAAAAGTACTTGCTCTGCAAACCTGATGAACTGAATTCAGAGCCCCAGAACCCATGTAAAAATCTGTATGTGGGAGTATGCATCTGTAATCCCAGCACTCCCATAGTGAAACTGAAAGTTTCAGTGATTTTTGTCGTGGCAAATGATGTCTCAGTATCAATGACTTTCATAATCCAGGCATTTCTGCCTTATCAGCTCCATTTGATCCTTTTGGAAAGACAATATTTCAACCTCTTGGAGGATGTAGGTAGATTATTAGGTCATTAGGTCAGAGTTAATTTGCTAGTGTGACTTTTAAACTTTTCTTTCATACATAGAAGCACAAGAGAAATTTCAAAAAGCAGACCATTTGTTTTAAAATATTGGCAAGTGGAGATCTTTTCCTATTTGGACACCAACTTCTAAAGTCATCCCTCAGCCCACAGACCCCTTGAATTTTATACAGAAATGGTCTACTTTTGTGGGGAAAAAGTTATTTAACTAATCAGGGTAATTTGAGGCATATTTCAGGGGCAGAAATGCTATAAAATGCTTCCTGTGAACCTTCAGATGCTGCTGATTTAAATTAAATTGGATATAAAAGTGATAGGGCTGGGGAGATAGTTGAGTGTGCATAGGGCACGAGGACCCTGTTTTGATACCTCGAGCCCACATTAAAAAGCTGGGCATGGGGTATACTCTTGTAATCTTAGCACTGGGGAGGTGGAGACAGACAGATTTCCAGGGCTCAATGGCTTATTCAGTGAGAGGCTCTGCCTCAAAAAAAACCAAAAAAAAAAAAAAAACCCAAAAAAACACCCCCCCAAAACTCAAGGTGGGATGTCACCTGAAGGAGAACAACACCTAAGATTGTCCTTTGGCTGCCACATGCACATGCCTACATGTGTACATGCAGCTATATACACATGTACCCTCCACACATATAAAATAAGTAAATTTCAAAAGGGTGACGGATATACGTAAGCATATGAAGTAAAAGTTGCTTTCAAGAATTGTGTTATGATCTACATACCCTTTCAGAGCTGTAACAGTAGGATCTTAGCATCACCAAACTTCTTCCCATCCCATTTATTAATTATCATGGTAATGGAGGTTGAACCCAGAGCTTCACACATCAGGCAAATTCTCTATCACTGAGTTGAATTCCCAGTTCTTTAGTCTTTAAAAAACATTTTATTTATTCTTTTATGTATAATGAGTGTATTACCTGCACGTATGTAAGTGTATCCGTGTTGTGCAATGCCCATGAAGGACAGAAGAGGCATCAAATTTTCAGGGAATTGGAGTTATAGATGGTTGTTAACTGCCATGTAGGCGCTGGGAACTGAACCCAGATTCTCTGCAAGAGCAGCCAGTGCTCTTAACTGCTGAGCCATCTCTCCAGCCTCCAGTCCTTTATTCTTAAAATAACAGTTTTATAAGCTGAGCTTGAATGCTTTATTATAAATCGAAAGGCAAAGAAGTGTGTAACTTCTCTCAAATTTATAAATTAAATCACAAGTGTGTTTGTCCTTAACATACAAGAAAAGGTTATTATTACTAATAATATTATTTTTATGCCATAGATGCTTTTGGTGGGTTGGGAATATATGTGGATTCCTTCATAAAGCAATATCTTAAAATCTTTAAGACAAAATATACAGGAACAGGAAGAAACCTGTTACATTGAACAAGTTGGTGATACAGTAATGCCCTTCCTTATGAAGGCACTAGATAAGATTTAATAGATTTAATAGCTTCTATGTTTTGAAACTAGTAGAAATGAAAAATGTTTTCAAATATCTGTGTTGACTGTAAAGAGCATTTGGGATTTCTTTCAATAACAAAGTTAGAGGTACTGCTAGTCCTGCTGTGGTTTGCTGGCACATCCCAAATGGAAGAAAGTGTTAAATTCCAATTAGAGAAAATAATTTTCCCCATCTGAGTCTATAGACACCTTGAATTCTAGCCATCAGTTGCTAAGGAGTGGGACTATAAATCCCAGCTTAAGAACTCAAAGTATGGGGCTGGAGAGATGATTCAGGGGTTAAGAACACTGGCTGTTCTTGCAGAAGACCCGGGTTTGAATCCCAGTACCCATATGGCAGCTAACAATTGTCTGTAACTCCAGTTCCAGGGGATCTGATAGCCTTTTCTGTCCTCTGTGGGCATTGCATGACATGGATGCACTTACCTACATGCAGGCAATATACATATACACATAAAAATAATAAATAAAATAAACTAATTAAAAAAAAGAACTCAATGTATAATATGGCTATAATGTAATGTTTTTTAGAGTCTTAAATAGGACATTTTCTTTTTCATATTTATTTTTATTTTATGTGTATGAATGTTTGGCTTGCCTGTATGTAAGTGCACTTGTACATGCAATGGCCCACAGAGGCCAGAAAACGGTGTTAAATTCCCTGAAACTGGAGTTATGGATAGCTAGTTGTTAGTTGCCATGTGACTGCTGGGAACTGAACCTAGGTCCTCTGCAAGAGCAGCCAGTGCTCTTAACTGCTGAGGCATCTCTCCAGCTCCCAAATTAAACAGGACATTTTCTGTGTATGTGTTAATCAAATCTGAACCAAAATTTTTTTTTTGTTTTGAGACATGGTCTTTCCGACTGGCCTAGAGCTTTCTATGTAGGCCAGGCTGGTCTTGAACTCACAGAGATCTGTTTGCCTCTGCTTCCCAAGTGTGCCACCACACCAGGCCAAATTTCATTTGTAACACTCATAAAACTTATTTGTGATAACAAAAACAGTTACCACAAAAAGTTTCTTCATTCATCAGAGCCTGTTCAAAACTGGACTTGATAGACCTTAATATGACAGAATGCATGAAATTTGGTGGGTGAGTTGTTGGGTGGGCGTAGATAGTGGAGGGGGTATAAATATGATCAAGATGTATTGTATGAAATGCACAAAATTCAATAAAAATATATATTGAAAAAATTAAGGTCTCAAAAAAGAGGTCCCCAGAAGAAAACAAGTACTTACCCCTGAAGCATAGTAGAATAGTAACCCGTTTGGCTGTAATGTTCGGAAATTGAAACCTCCTTCAAAGCCATCAAAGAAAGATATTTTCTGAGTTGAAGCAATGAAACTTTGCCCATTGAAATATGCTCTGCGAGATATCTGTGTGACAATAAAGTAAATACAGTGTTTTAGGGTAATTATTGAATACTTACATCAGTTTTCATATACTAGTTGTCCTGAAAGTGGGTTTGTTTCAATTTTGATTGATGCTGGTACTCAGACATGCCAGCCTTCCTTCTCTATTCCTATGGCAGCTGGGTTTCAGTTTCTCCATTTCCTTTACCTGAGTGACCAGTGGCATTCAAACAGCCTCTCTGGACTTTGGATGTCCCACCCAACTGAAGGCTGGAGCAGCTGCACAGGTCAGAGGAGCCTATAAGCCTTTCCAGCTTAGTCAGTTTTCTTTCTCCTGGCGTGAGACAGGAAGGAACCCAAGGTGTATCCAGGATCTCAGAGAAACCGAAGAGGGCTTTTCCAGCTTTGGTGAGCTTTATGTTTACTTGTAAAAAAAGCCCTTGACTGAATGGTACTTACCAGAGAGTCTTCTGGGCATCCATAACCAACTCCTAGGGTTTCTGTCTGCTCCAGTAAATTGAAATCTTTCTTTTGGAACTGGAACCCCTTCATACATCCTCTGAAGTTGATATCTAGAGGAAGGTGTGCTCTTAGAGTCCTGGAAGAGAACATCAGTCTTCACGAGTACAGCTCTGCAGCTGCTGCTGCACTCTGCCCACATATGCCACAGAGCTTGAGCTTACTTCTGGTTGTTTGTGATGGCTTTAAAATCGTTCACAGTCTAGTACTTCCTTTGATAAACATATAGCAATGTCAAACCTGTGTCTATAGAAGACTTTGTTCTGAGTCAAGACTACTTGTACACTTCTCCAAAATTTCTTAACTTGCATTATCACGTGCTTTTGAGCAGTCAAGTGAGATAAAGATATTTCTCTTTTATAGGTGATTATGAGATTGAACCACAGGGAATTGATGTACTATAGATAAAAAATAGCCAATGCTTGGAAATTTCATAAAAATAGAAAATAAGTTCTGTAACAAATACTCAGTTAGAATTTGAACTCAGGTTTCCAGATTTCTGCTAAAAGACTTGGCCATATCTGCAACACACTATAACCAAGGGAAGCCAGAAGCAGGTCTCGGAAAAAATGTTAGACTGCTGGGCCCAAAGGAAAGCAGAAAATGCTTTATCCCTAAGATCAGGCATGACATTCATGTTCAACACTCTAACCCTAGCACCTGCCATACCTGATTATATAGGAAGTGCCCAAGAATATGTTATTGGGCATTGAATGAGTATGAAGTTGGTTATGATCAAATTACAGTGGGTTAAATGCATTTTAGATAAACACTTGGCCACACTAACAGCCCTGCTGTGTTCTGCTGTCACAGATCAGAGCTGGAAGAGCATGGTATTAATAGGTAGATGTGGAGTACATAATGATAAGCATAGTGATCAAAGGTCCCTCATGACATGGTTGAATTACTGAAGAGGGTGTTTAGTTTCTAAAACTTGGGCAGCCTTCTTTAGATATGAAACGTTGAAACATGGAAAGGATTTGAATAAAGAAAATAAGAGCTTTATAACAATTGAAGTTTTTAAAACAGATTGGTTTTGCCTCTGAGGCAATAATATGTGCATGACTAAAATTATTCAAAGGTTTGAATGCTAATAGAGTAAGGGATTCTGTGTAAGATGAGGAGTGGATTCCAACATAATTCTCACCTGAGTTGGGGAGGTTATTTGTTGTTGCTGTTTTAAGATTGGAGCCTGACTCCAGAACAGTCAGAATTTTAGGAGAGTAAGTGGCTTTATTTATAAAACGCCCCAAGATCTCTAGTGAGAACCACTGTATTGGATATCTCCAAAGTTTTAACGATCTTTATTTCTATGGATTTAATGCACAGTAAGAGAGTTGAGTTTTTGAATACACTAGAATAATGTTTCAGTGCACAAAAATCACAACCTCTTAATAACCTCAAGAACTTTCATACTCTCAGATACTATTGAAGACTTCAAAATAAGTTTAAAGATTAAAACAAAAATTAAAGGATAACATGCTGGTTTGTCCTCACATAATACATATTTCTGCTTTTCCTCTTTTTAAAAAATATTTTATTTAATTTTTAATAACTATATGATTAGAAGAAGCATTTCACTACAGATTTAACATATTCAGTAACACACTCCAGAGCAAGAGTACATCTCTTTCACAAGTGAGTGGAAGTTTCTAGGTTCACAGTTGAGTTAATACAGTTATACAATATTGAACTCAATATAAACCCTGTAAGACATAAAATTGAATGA